CCCTGTAAATTTGAGAACCCTAAATCAGCCTAAATCAACCATAAACAAAAAAATTCCCCAAAAGCTCCGCACGTTGATGACTGAAAATTGAGGAGAGTAGAAGTTATTTAGTGGATTTGCTGGGGCGTAGGAGACAATGAGTCTTTCTTCTAGCATGGGAGGATCAAGTTGGAGTGCTTCAATAGGAGGTAGAACAACGACAAGGAATGGCAGTCAAAGGTTCAAATGTGGGAGGCAAACTATCGTCTATACCTCCAAAACATAGAGAAACCCAAATAGGGCATTCTTTGGGTGCCCTAATTTCAAGGTATACATGTGTAATTTGAAGTTAATTAAGTTGAAATATTTGCTCCCCGTGGTTTGTTATTTTGGCAGGAGAAGAAGCCGTTTTGTGATTATTTTAGATGGGTAGATGTCGTATGTAATGAAAGGCTGGAGCTGGAAGATGAAAGAATACACAAGGTGGAGTTGGATGTTGCTGAAATGGATTTCAAGTTGAAGTATGTGGACATGATGATGACTGAGCAATTGCAAGTTAAGCTGAATGACTAAGGTGTGAAGATTAAGGAGCAAGAACTGAAGATTAATGACCAGGAAAGAAAGCTGAATGAGCTATACCAGAAGATGGTTTCAGAGTTAGATAGGATGGACAATGAAATTAGGCATGTTGGTAGGTCATGTAGGGTCATAGTTGGTGCCTGTGTAGGTCTGGTCCTGATTTGTATTTTTGTTGCAAGTGTGGTAACAATCAAAACTAGTGTACCAATTGTATTTTTTCTTGACGGAAGTGTAATGAGTTCTCTGTACTTTTATGAGCAAATGAATAAAGATGCTTTTATTAAATGGCTTATTCTGTATTGGTTTGAAAATGTGTTTTTGATGTGCTTTATTTCTGTGGTCAAGCTTACCAATATATAAATGCCATGAACAAGGTCATGGATTATTCCATGCCATCTCTTTGAATCGTATGTTTGAGTCTTAATCTGAATCCAATGCCATGATGGATTATAACCATTGAGTCATTTATCTGCATAATTAAGCTGGAATGAATGTATCTGCTAGAAGCATTGTGCATATCAGAAGTTGGAAGTTGGAAATGCAGCCATTTTTGTTTCAAAATGGGATTTTGTAGAGTCATTTTGGTCCCTAACAATATGACATGATGGCCTTTATGGTCCCTGAGAAATTCGTCGAGACCCTAATTGGTCCTTATCAATAAAAAAGTGGACATGAAATCAGAAGTTGCAAGGCAGTCATATTTGTTAAACCATAAGTTGGAATGCAATCAGAAGTTGGAATTGTAAATCATGAAATCATTGTATCACAAACCACCAACCACAAATGTATCCATCTAAGAGGCCAAACTCTTTCAATATTTGTTGTTAGTATCACAGACAATTTGACGGTAAAGAATGGGAAAGAAATTGCAACTGATTAAACAATGGGAAAGAAAGCAATGCAGAAAGGTTGATAAATCATGATTAATGTAGCCATTTACAATTCAGAACCCATCCATCAAACAGTATCCACATTTACAATTCAGAACCCATCCATAAAAAAAAAGAGGGCCTGTCAAATGTAAAACAAAGCACCATGTACAAAAAAATGTGGAGCTACAATTCATAATGGCCAAAGATATCAGTGTTGCCTATACAAAAAACACTGAACCTACAACTGATCATGTCCTTGAAGCTGGCCTTGGGGGCCTAAATCCAGGTGTGGTCATGAAAGCCATTAGCCTGGTCCTTGTGCCACTGCTTGTTGCATTGAGAGTTTCATTGGAGAAATCTTCAGCTGGTGGTGGGGCAGAAGGTGGTGGGATGCTACCTCTAAATGGCATGTCAGCTGCCTGGGAATTTGGTATTGCAGGTCCTCCTTGACTGAGAGGTATCTCTTCTTCAGGTCTTGATCGAATGTTGACAGTAATTGGAGTTGAAGGAGCTATTGGTCTCTTCCCTTTCTTACTTGCTGCTGGTCCCTTACAAGTCTTTGCATAGTGACCAGCCTATCCACATTTAGGACATTTAGTAGCATATGTCATTTTCACTCTTTTGGTATTGCTTCCATGTTCCTCACTTGGATCCTTTTTCCTATGTTTCTTAGGACGGCCAATTGGCATTTTCAACGGTGGAGGAATAGGTTTAGGCTTTGTTGAGGTAGGCCAATACTTAACAGAATTGACAGGGTTTAATGTGTGTGCATAAGTGGCATGCAAAGCATCCACTGTCATCCATTGATGCACATAAAGCTCTGCAGGTTCATTCTTACGGCATATTGCAGCAATTGCATGCTCACATGGCAATCCAGTCAGATGCCATAGATTGCATGCCCATGTTTTGTATGTTAAATTTACTCGAACCCTTTCACCCTTTCCACTAACTTCATATATGTCTTGATTCAAATTCCTTGTCCATGTAGGAGTCCAGAAATTCCTTAGTACCTTCAATTGATCAAGCTTCTTCTGTTGTGCAGGGGCAATTTTACCCCTAACTGTTCCAAGAATTCTTTGATGTGTTGCCATCCTCCTCATGATGTAACACCTAAGTTCTTCACATAGACTGATTATGGGCTTGGACCTATATCCTACAATTTTGGCATTCCAAACCTCTGCCATGTTGTTTGTAATGTTGTCACACTTGGGCCAGTGGCTAAAATAGGCTTTCACCTAGCATGAGAGGTCAATCTTGTGTAGATATGCCCAAGCATCTTCATTTAAATCTTTCAATCTCTGCATGGCCCTTTGGAATTGAGGTACAATAGTGCATCTTACACATTCCCAAACTATTCCCCTAATGGCCTTGTCCTTCCACTGCTTAATGAAATATTTCCAGACATGCTGCACACAAAACCTGTGATGTGCATCGGCATCACCTCCTGCAAAGTTGGTATCAAACCCTGCATTCATATATGAAGCAACACAGTCAGTTTATATAGTCACCATATAAAACCAAAAGACAGTTTTAAACAAACATACCTTTTGCTGATTAGAAATGAAGTTCCAACCATGGACTACATGGCTGCCAATGTCCTCTTGTAACAAGTTCAGAAACCATTTCCAGTTTTCTTTCATCTCACTGTCCACCACTGCATAAGCAATGACATAAAAGCTCTTGTTTGCATCCTCTCCCACTGCACTCAAGAGTTGTCCCCCATAGTATCCTTTTAAGAAACAACCATCCAGGTCAATCAATAGCCTACAATCAGCTTTGAACCCTTTCTTACAAGCATCAAGACATATATACAGTTTAGAAAATATAGGTGGGCTTTCAGGGACAGGTTGTGGTATTACTTGCATCTGGAAAGCGGAGCCAGGATTGCTTCTCAAAAGCTCAGCTAGGTAGTCCCTTAACTTGGCATACTGTTCCTTTTCATAACCTTCTATTCTGCCTTTGGCTTTACGAAGTGCCTTGCTCACTTTCTTCAAATGTACATGGACCTTGTATTCCTCTTTTAAATGCTCATAAGCTTCAGCCCTTGTCATGTTGGGCTGTGTGACTAACCTTTTCTCCAACTTTTTTGCAACCCAATCTCTGCTGGCCCTTTTATTTTTGAAAATTCTGCAACAAGAATGTGAATCATTGAATGTCTTCACTTGGAAACTATTCAATTTGTTGTTCCAGGCACAGTATATCATCCACTCACAGTCTTTATTTGAGCATTTGGCCCTTGCTCTTACCTTGCCATTTTTAACCCACTTAAATTGTCTCCCAAGACTAATATTGTAGTCTTTCACACCATTTTTAAAGTGGTCTAAACTGACAAACTCAATTCCAAGCTCTAGTTGGACATGACCAAAAGTATTGTCTGCATTAAACTTCGGAAACATAGTTGTTTCAACCTCCTCATCCCCACTTGAAGGAGGAGTCTTCAGTTCTTCAGAATTATAACCATACCCCTGCTCTTCAAATGACATATTCTGGTCATCCTCTTCCAAGTTTTGTTCCTTGCCATGCTGGTTAACTGTCTTTTTTTTCTTTTTTTCATGATGCCTTTTTTTTTGCATACATATCCTCTTCATCCTCTGTTTCGTCCTCATAACCCGATGGAGGAGGCTTATATGGCTCATCTTCTACACTGTCATATAAATCACTTAACAGTCCATTGCCATCTCCCTCTTCATATTCATCAGCAGAAGTCATATGCACCTCACTTGAACTACCAATTGAATCAGTTAACACCCCCTCCTCATCACCATTTTGACACTCTAACTCATCACTCCCTTCTGCAGGTGCAGGTGCTACAATGTCAGGAACTGCAATGCAATCTTCGAAATAAATATCTACCTTGTTCCCATTACCTAAGGCAGCCTTAACCATTTCCACAATGTCTGAGTCCTTTTCAAGAAGACTTAACCCTACCTCTAAATCACTCTCAGTAGGCTTAAGCCACCACATCTGTCTAAATTTTTTATATCCACACCCCTTGAACAAAGTTTCAAGGTCACGAAGGTTGACATAATCTGCATCCATCTCTGGAAGGTTGACATAATCTGCATCCATCTCTGGTAAATCATCCACTCTCCTATTTACATAAGTAAGCTTCCTTTCATCATTCCTAATCAACACACCCCCATTGTTACCAATCCAGTGGGCTAGCACTTAGTAGGCTCAATCAGAATAAAAGACCACCTGGACACTTGAAAGACTATTTTCAATGACTAAATGGCCCAAATTAGTATTTTGTATCTGTTGTTTTATGTAATTAGAAATTAAAAAGAAACAAGAGGAAGGATTGTAACAGAATAGTTATATAGCCCACGGGGAGGGCGTGAAGGAAGATATTCAGAAAATCGTTGGACAAACTCCCTCTCTTTCTCTCTATCTTTTCTTATTCACAATTATATCCTCTTCCCAGATCTAAACCCCTTACATTTGGTGCTTTCATCAACCTCTTCCTCCCAAATCATGGCTGAGAATACAAGGATGCAAGACATGCAACAACGACTAGAAGCACTCGAACATTAGTTTCACGCGGCTGAACTGGTCCGCGAACAACAACATATGGACCTCCAGGAATCTCAAGCTCAGCTGCATGACTCTCAGCAGCAAATTCAAGAATCTCATAATCGCTTTCACCAGGATCTGAATCGATTGATTGAACTACAGCAGAACAACTGTGGAGTATTGGGGTCCGGTCCGTTGACGGGGCCCACTACAGGTGGAGAAAATTCCAGATCTAGACAGGTCAAATTGGATTTTCCACGTTTCTCCTCTGGAGATCCCACCACGTGGATCACAGCAGTTGAGAGGTATTTTGCGTTTTACCAAGTCCCTCTTCCAGATCACTTGAATTTAGCAGCATTTCATCTTAATGAACCAGCTGCAAGTTGGTTTTATGGTGCGGATCAAAATGGCCTAATGCCTGATTGGCGAACATTTTGCACTGCGTTGCTGCGTCGTTTTGGTTCGTCTGAATTTGATGATCCAGCTGGAGCGTTGGTGAAAATCCAACAAACGGGATCAGTTCTGGACTACCAATCCTCTTTCGAGAAGTTGGTGAGTAAGGTCTCAGGTTTATCTGCCACTTTGCTTTGCAGTATTTTTATCTCAGGTCTTAAACCACACATCTGTCGTTCTGTTTTAACCCTCAGACCTGTGGATTATCATGAAGCCTTTTCGTTAGCCAGAGTCTTTGAAGATCAAGCTACTGATCAAAAATTTAACCATGCCTGGAAATCTGCTCCTAAAACAGTAAATTCCCTACAACTTACCCCTGCAACCAATAGTAATCCTATTCTAGCCATACCCATCTGTCGTTTGTCCCAATTGGAAATGCAACAGAGGAGGGAGAAGAATCTTTGCTATCATTGTGACGAAAAATATTCTTTCGGGCACAAGTGCAAGGGCCGTCCAACACTGTTATATCTGGAAAGTGATGATGATAATCCTGATCCTGAACCCTTACCGGTGATAGACGACAATTCGGTTTCTGAAGTGACACTTGAAATCAGCTTCAATGCCTTATTTGGCCATCGTAGTTCAAGATCTTTTCGTCTTACAGGCACGATCAAAGGCAAACAAGTCCAAATCCTTGTGGTTGGGGGAAGTACACACAATTTCATTACTGATCGTATGGCTTTGTTTCTTGGTTTAACATTGCATCACATTAACCCTTTCCAAGTGCAGGTGGGAAATGGTGAAGCTCTTCAATGTACAGCTTCTTGTCTTGAAATTTCCTTGAATTTGCAAGCCCATGCATTCGTTGTGGATCTGCTTGTGCTTGATCTCAAAGGTGCGGATGTAGTTTTGGGTATCCAATGGTTGGAGACTTTGGGCCCTATTATAACTGATTATGCCCAGATGACCATGTCCTTTACCCACAGTAATTCCACTATTACCCTACACGGTGACTATTCCATTTCACCCACCCAAATATCTAATGCACAACTCCACAAATTAGTATCCCAAGATTCGGTGTCTTCTTATTTCATGTGCCTTGACAGTACCGACACTACAAATACACCAAAACCTTCCCACCTACCACCGCCACCGATTCAACAACTCCTCACCCAATTCCAAGATATATTCAATACTCCCCAATCCTTACCCCTTGACCGTAATACCAACCACCACATTAATCTGATTCCTCACTCCAAACCCATACAAGTCCGTCCCTATAGATATCCACACTTCTTGAAAACAGAGATTGAAAACATGGTGAGCGAGATGTTAAATACTGGAGTGATACGACCCAGCCAATCTCCTTTTAGTTCCCCAGTTCTTTTGGTGAAGAAAAAGATGGCACATGGAGGTTTTGTGTTGACTACCGAGCGTTAAAACGCGATCACCGTGCTAGACAAGTTTCCCATCCCTACAGTAGACGAGTTGCTAGATAAGCTACATGGTGCCCAAATTTTTTTGTAAGTTGGATCTACGTTCAGGGTATCATCAGATAAGGATGAACCCTCTTGATGTCCACAAAACTGCATTTCGGACCCACAATGGCCACTTTGAATTTTTAGTGATGCCATTTAGTCTTTCAAATGCTCCGTCGATGTTCCAAGCTACTATGAATCATGTCTTCAGTAGCTTCTTGAGACGGTTTGTAGTTATCTTCTTTGATGAAATACTGGTGTACAACCCATCTCTCCAAGCTCATCTCGATCATCTAAGGAAAGTATTGTACACTCTCAGAAAACATAAGTATTTTGTTAAAGAGTCTAAATATTCTTTTGCAGTCCAAGAAATTCAGTTTTTGGGCCATGTTATTTCGTCTGCTGGAGTATCCCCGGATCCCTCTAAGATTCAAGCTGTGAAAGAATGGCCCATTCCACAATCGGTCACTCAGTTACGCGCTTTTTTTGTCTATCGGGTTACTACCGTCGTTTCATTAAGGGATATGCTTTTGTGGCAGCACCACTTACGGACCTATTATCCAAAGATGCTTTTAAATGGTCAGTCACTGCTGAGCAAGCCTTTGTGGCTCTCAAAAACTTGTTAACAAACGCTCCAATTTTGGCTTTGCCCAATTTTACACTTCCTTTTATTCTGGAAACGGATGCATCAGGTGTAGGCATTGGGGCGGTGTTGTTACAGGCAAATCATCCAGTTGCTTTTTTTCCCCGAAAGCTGTCCAAGCTCATGCAATCAAAATCCACTTATTATCGGGAGATGTATGCCATAACCACTTCGGTGGCTAAGTGGAGGCAATACCTCTTGGGCACGCCCACTATTATCAAGACCGATCATCGCAGTTTGCATCACTTGATGTCACAAGTAATCAAAACCCCCGAGCAACAACAATTTCTTGCAAAATTGTTGGGGTTCATTTACACGATTCAGTATCGCCCAGGTAAATCAAACACAGCTGCTGACGCCTTGTCACATCAGCCGGAGGGGGTTACCACTACTGCCACTATACCAGAGCTCATGGCTCTCAGTGCACCTACATCCACATATAGTTCCATATTACAGTCTGAATTACAACATGACTTCTATGCTACTCGCATTATACAGGAATTACAAACAGATCCTACTAAATGGCCACACTGGTTGTATAAACAAGGATTACTGTTCAACAGAAACCGCATCTATGTACCACCAAGCTCATCACTAATACCGCTACTTCTCCACCAATTTCACTCATCCAAGATTGGTGGACACGCTGGCATCAGAAGAACACTCATCATAGTAGGTGCTTCATTTACCTGGAAACACATGAAGAAAGACATTCAACAGTACATACAGCAATGTGAAACTTACCAGAAAACGAAATCCCCAAACCATTCACCTTATGGTCTTCTACAACCCTTTTTAGTCCCTGACACCATTTGGTCAGACTTATCCATGGACTTTATAACACATTTGCCCAACTCAGGGGGTTTCACGGATATTATGGTAGTGGTGGACAGACTTACTAAGGGCGCCCACTTCATAGCCTTACCACCGAGATATTCAGCTGTCAAGGTCGCACAGGTACTTTGGGACACTGTTGGGAAGATACACGGCCCTCCGAGATCTATAGTCTCCGAGCTTGATCCCATCTTCACCAGTGACTTTTGGAAGACACTTTTCAAACTGCAGGGAACTATGCTTCACTTCACATCAGCGTATCACCCTCAATCCGACGACCAGACGGAGCGGGTCAATCAGATCTTGGAGCAGTACCTCTGTTGTTTTGTGCATGACCACCAAACCACATGGCACCGCTTCTTCAGCTGGGCTGTGTTCCATTACAACACCGCCTTCAATCCCTCTACTCGGACTACTCCATTTCAAGCCACTTTCGGTTGTCCTCCGCCGTGTTTATTGGCCTACACCTTGGGATCTACTCCGTTAGAGGCTGTGGACACAGATCTACACCAACGTTCCATGATCCTAGCATCATTAAAGCAAAACTTAAGAAAAGCACAAACCGTAATCAAAATACAAGCAGACAAGAAGCGAAAAGCTTACACCTTTCAAGTCGGAGACCAAGTACTTCTGAGACTGCAACCTTACCGCCAACTCACAGTCCATCAGCGGTCTTCCCACAAACTTAGTCTACGGTTCTATGGTCCCTTCGAGATTTTAGAACGTATCGGGCCAGTAGCCTACCGCCTCAAGCTGCCGAAAGAATCACGTGTCCATCCAGTCTTCCATGTCTCTCTTTTGAGACCGTTCATCGCTCACAGGCAACACCAGATCCACGCTTTTCCAACAGCCCTCCATAGTACACCACCGATGCATGCACCAGCAACTATTGTGTCACGGCGTATCATCTGGAGGCAAGGGCGGGAGACACCACAAGTATTAGTGCAGTGGCAGGGGTTACCTCCGGAGGAGTCAACTTGGGAAGACAAAATAGTTGTCATGGGAAAAAACTTTTCAAAGGACCAGCCTTCAGCTGTGAGGCAGAACGAAGAGGGCGAGTTTGATAGCTCTGAAACAAGACTGGCAAGTGATTTTTTGAGACAGACCATTCCTCCAACGTATGATTTGGGGAAAGAGGAGCTAATTAATGTGGCTGCAGACACAACCAATAGTATCAACCCGTCTGACACAACACACATAATCCCAACCACTCAGAAATTAATGGAGGCTAGTTGGATTCCTCTTTCTCCAAGCCTCTAGAACGTTCCCACCGACAACACACGTGGGTCGTCCATTCAGCTCAACCCAACACAAGGAGCCTCAATGGGGCAAGCACATCTCGAGGACGAGATTGGTTCTGATGGTGAAAGGGATGTTACGCACCAATCCAGTGGGCTAGCACTTAGTAGGCCCAATCGGGATAAAAGACAACTTGGATACTTGAAAGACTATTTTCAATGACTAAATGGCCCAAATTAGTATTTTGTATCTGTTGTTTTATGTAATTAGAAATTAAAAAGAAACAAGAGGAAGGATTGTAACAGAATAGTTATATAGCCCACGGGGAAGGAGTGAAGGAAGATATTCAGAAAATCGTTGGACAAACTCCCTCTCTTTCTCTCTATCTTTTCCTATTCACAATTCTATCCTCTTCCCAGATCTAAACCCCTTACACCCAAGATGATATCTTATGACTATATATTCATCCATCTGCATAGAAAACATAACACAAACATTTTTTAGACTACAATTGCATTATTTTACAGTATCATATAACCAATCATGATTTATCAATATTACAATAATCTTGTAACAGTCAGGGACAACCACATAGAGATTTTTAAAATGGCCACGCAGTCGATTAACACAACACTTGGGTCCACAAAACACTACACATAGCAAATATAAAAAACGAAAAGGGGACCATATGCAACAAGTTTCGTACAAAATAAAACCCTAACAATATCTTTACCAGGTACCGCACATGGGGGACCACATTAAACAAAAAACAATGACTCATTCACAAAGGGGACCACAGATAATAAAGAAATGACTTGTTGCACGTACCTTTTTCGAATGTGACCACACTCACAACCGTTTTTCTGATGTTGACCAAATATCCACACTACTTCCAAATCCTTGCAACTACAGAGGAGATGTTGACCCACAAACCACCGTTCCTCACAACCTTCACCGAAATGTAGCTCACGAGCAGAGGAAAAGGGGGGGTATGGAGAAGTTACTTCTTGTTGTCTGAGTGTGTCAACTAAGTTAAGACCAAGGTGGAAGATGTCTCCTTTACAGAAACGACGTCGTCCGCTTCTAATTACAGCTGCTAACCTTCACATATACACAACGACGTCGTTTATTCATCCAACGTGACTTGTAACGTTAGTGACTCAGGAAACTAACGTTCCACATGTGCTCCGTTAGTTTGTCCGTTGGATGCCAACTAACATAAGAACAAACGTGGCACTTTTTTTCCAAAATCAAGGACCTAACATAGCCTTTTTATTGTTGGGGACCAATAAGGACTTCGTGAAATTTGTCAAGAACGAAAAGTGATATTTACTTTTAAATCTTTCACTGAAATTGTTCAGTCTTCACCAGCTTAACAGACCCAAATCTCAATATCATTGCTTCTTTAACGAGTCACAGGTTAAACAAAACACAACTTTTAGACCAAAAGAAATAGGTTCCACTCCCCATTGTGCCAAGTTTGGTATCTTAATTGAGTTCTTATCTTCTAATAATTCATTTCCAATCCAGCGCTTAAAATTATAACACTGGATAGATTTAATTAATTGTCTACGGACTACAGGAATAAAATATTCTTGTTTACAGATATTTGATGTTTGCTTAAATATAATACACAAATCTTAGGTGCTGTGGTGACCTAACAAAACTATGAAAAACTATATACTCTCACATTTTCTTTTATAATAGGTTGATTCATATATACATGACATCAAAATGATTGATGAGAATAAATGCCTTGCTCAGTTGAGATGACAAGCGACAATAATAACAAACTAGAGCAGCATTTGGCTGTGACTGGAACCTCTCAGCTTGTTGCCTTCCCAACGCATCTTTCCTCATGCAAAATAATGAAACCATGACTGTATTCAGTAGCTGAAGTATGAGTCCATTTCTGCTTCCACCCCATCTAATTAAGTAGCACTCTTCAACTCCTCATCGTGCATGGGTCTATCTGCATTGATGTAGTTATCTGTGTCCTCTTCAACCTCATATGATGAAAGCAACTTTCTCTGCATAAATTATGCAACATGCACATCAGTAAAGAGGCCGACCAACATATATAAAAATGTCATTACCATTTCTCTTTCCGTTTAACATTTGATAGGATGCCTTTTCAGCCAATTAACTACAGAAGGGATATTAGTGATAAAAATTTCAAACTCTTGACATATTAATATACTATCTTAACATGCACTTTGTGAGATGTTTCTGCTTGTTTTAAGAAGTAATGAGAGGCAAGGAATGCATTCCTCATACAAAAGAAACATTATATTCAAAACCTTCAAATATAATGGCAAATATAAAAGTATTAGGTTGGGGGTAAAAGATGTGTATAGTAAAAGAATAACTGATAACAGAGGAGTTTTGTGTTTCTTGAATCTTGATAGATCCCAGGTCAGGGACAAGATGAAAAAGAAAACAAGATAGTAGGATGAGAAATAAAATGCTGTAGACAAGGCAGTTGACATGCCTTGTAACTACTCAACTAGTTAACTATGTTCAAAAAGTGGTTAATGAGTAACCACTATAGATAATTGTTTCTGAGTTCAAATATTTTTGCCAAGAATCCTTTGTACTTTTTTTCTTTTGTTCCCTATGATGAGATGATAAAAGAAATTCACTAATAGGAGAGAAGAAAAAAATACATATGTAGTATAAGATGACTTGCTATAGTACTAAAGAACCACTTCAACCCAAAACCTTAAAGCGTTGGGTGGAGGTCTTTCTAATGGTTTATATTATTCTCTAATACACCCCCTCACATAAGAGCCCTTTGGGCATGAAACGTGGATATTGCATAGGTCCAATTTTTTTTTTGGTTTTACCTTATACTTATTTAATTCCACAAGTGGGAGACGGTGAGGATCGAACTCGTGACCTTATGGTCACTGAAGTTACTTCAACCCAAAACTTTAAGGCGTTGGATGAAGGCCTCTTTAATGGTTTATATTTTTCTCTAACATATAGAACTACCAAAAATCTTACTACAAATGAGAGCAGTAAAAATGAAACCAAAAAAAAAAAAAAGGTAACACTTCATCAAAATGGTCTCTCATGGTGCATCTACCGGGTCCATTAGAGGCATATAATCATCATGACATGCTTGATATTTATAGCAATCTAAAGATCAGTGACATAATACTTACATGATCCTCAAAATCTGGGCTAGTTAAATTGACAGACAGGTTTCTCATCAACAGTAACACCTAAATAGAGCCAAGGCCATACATTTGTAAGTACTCCATAAAAAGCATAATTCATTTGTACAATTGTAGTTGACACAAATCAATAAACAGTCAGGTTCAAATAAAGCTTAAATGTAAACTTAAGGAGTAGGCAATTGATTGCCTCAAGCATATGAAAAAGCAATTTACCAAAAAGTAACAACAAAAAATATCTAGCCGAACATAATAGCAAAGTTTGGACCAAAACAACACATGCATACCGTCTCAACATCTATACGGTCCATCTTTTTTAGTTTCTGCAGATGTTCAGTTGCATTTGGATCAAATACACTGCCAATGAAGCTATATACCTGATTAAAATCCGGAAGAACTGCATTAAAAAGAAAAAAAATTGTTAAAATGCTAATTAAACTATCACGCCAATGATAAACATAAAAGCAACAATACCATAAAGAGGAAACTTGAATGACAAGAAAAAATGAATTTTAAATGAGTCTGTATGGGTCAAATTGGGAGTTTGTAGAACTCCCAGACAGCTTTCAAGACATGATAAATATTAAATGAAATGAGTCATGAAACTAAGAAAAACACCATAGACTATTACATTCACATGGTAAATAAATACGAAAATGACAATATGTTCGAGATACAGGATTGCATCAAATGTAATAAATTTAAGGGACTGTTGAGAAAATCCGAGAAATACATAAGTTTTTCAGCATTATTTGAGGAGTACCATCGAATTCAAATAAAAGCTGACAACTTAGTATTTTTCAGCCTTGCAGTTAAATCACAGTTGAAGTGATAATTTTGATGCACAGACAATGATTATCAAGATCCACATCCAAGAAGTTGATTGAAATTTAAGTTACTTCTGACACCACACAACGTAATTTTTTGGATATGAATCTGGTGTAAAGCAACCATATATACATGCTGAAATATACATTATAAGCCTCTGTCAGCACAAATTATGTTTATAACAACACTTCTTAACCTTGCTGTGCACACATGTAACTATCAAAGAAAATCAACTTGAAATTATCAAGCAAATTCACTAAAGCCTTGCCTCTCAGTGGCTTGCTATTATTCCCTTGACCATTAGATTCACCAACTGGCGGCACTCTAGGTGTGCTTTCCTTGCTACTGCAAGAATTTTTCACTTTTGGCACTGCAACACGATATAATATTGCAAACACAAGAAAGTAGTTAGTATCCTTTTTCTTCATTTTTAAGGTAACAAGTATCTTTAACAAACTAAGTCAATTATTTTCATTGTTAGAGAATAATATAAACCATTAAAAAAAAAAGCCCTCACCCAACACCTTAAGGTTTTGGGTTAAATTGATTCTTTACATGATATCAGAACTTCAGTGACTACAAGGTCACGAGTTCAATCCTCACCGCCCCACACTTTCTAGTGGAATTAAAATAAGCACAAGGTAAACCAAAAATTGAGCCTGTGTAATATCCATGCTTCGAGCCCAAAGGGCTCTTGCGTGAGGGAGTGTGTTAGAGAAAATAATATAAACCATTGAAAAAAGCCCTCACCCAACACCTTAAGGTTTTGGGTTGAATTGGTTCTTTATATTCATGAACAAAATTCCAGGATGATATATATGGAAAATGGTACAGGAAATCATAGCATTTAATACCATGCAATAAATTGGTTGTTTGCATGGTGTTGTTTGACCAGGAAGACACCACAGTGTTCATTATAGGAGTTTTAAGCATTGGTGAGGAATCATGCTTCACGATATATCCAGGTTCATGCAAAGCAGATGAAGATTGAAAAGATCCTGATACTTGTGAGAGTACAGGAGCTGCCAAATATCATATACAAATTATTAGATACAACAGCATTTAAATTGTGTCATAGAAAAAAAAAATGGTGCAAGATTATGACCATTTTTGGAAGCTTTCTGAGGATATGGATGGGCAGCTTTTCTTTTAGGCCTGGGTGGAGGAAGATGTTCACTTGCCCCACTCTTCTGAACTTTTAGAAAGTATTTCTGTGCATGGCTACGTATCTACAAAATTAGCAGAAATCATTTTTTAGTCCTTCTTAAATTGAGGTATGCATATAAATTTTAACTCAAATAAAATAAAATAACAGAAGCCCCAACAACTCAAACATTCATATACGTTCAGATCTTTCAAGCCAGCTCAGCTGTGCACACTCAACCAACAAAAGAGCAACCTGGTGCTATAAAGCTCCCACTATGCGGAAGGTCCATGGAAGGGCTATATTAGGCAGCCCTACCTTGCATTTGCTAGAGGCTGATTACAAGAATCAAACCTATGACCCGGGGGTCACATGGTGACAACACTATACATTGTGCGGCTCCCCATCCTGCAGGTACTCAACTAATAAACAGCATAAAATATTTTCTAACAATTTCTGGAAAAAATAACTAATATTGCTCCCTGTTGGCATTTTGTGCCTTGTTTTAATCAAAAGACCTATACGCCATAAAAAGCAATTTGCATTATTTTCTCATCAGAGGTAAAAACCATTACCAACCCTGCACCCAACAGTTTAAGATTTGAGGGTAGTTGGTTTTCTATCATGGCTACAAAGCCTCTATGACTAAGTAATTAGGAGTTTGATCTTTGTTGTCCCCATTTTTCTTAACTTAATTGATTTTTAGCATAAGACATACGGGCCTGTGCTTTGTCCATGTTTTGTTCTCAAATGTGGAGGCATGTTAAAGATAAAAAAAAACCATTCCTGGATCTGCCTGCATGCAACAGATAAGCTTTTAGGACAGTTGGTCCTTCACAATGTTTCAGAAAACAACAAACTTATGTAAGGTGGTTATAAACATGTAATAAAGGATTAGAAATTGGATTTGGACCCTCTCATGTTAAGAGCGAGAAAGACCAAAAAGGCAAAAGTAACTATAATTGGACCCACCATTATTTGTGTAGGGTCCATTAAAATTGCATCTGTGCCTTTCTCTCTCATAACATGAGAGAATGAACATGAAAAGATCCAAATCCTTAAAAATCAAATAGTTAAAATGGCATATATATTATTAGCCTAGATCATAAAGTGGCTGAAATGAGAGAGAAAGCACCTGTAGTGTTAAATGTTAATATCTAAGCCTAATGTTATTGTTCATGGGACAAACCATCGTTTTACCAGAGCTCTTCAATAAAGTAGTAGAAAACAGAATAACTTCACTACGCAACAACTTGCATTGTATACATGGTTGTTAAAACGTCATTCCAAATCGTAGAAACGGACATTTTTACATTTTTTGGGAAGAAAACGTGTTGAAACGGTAGTTGAAACGGGATTTGGGTAGAAACGGTTGAAACGCGAGTTAACTCGGCGAGTTTACCGAGTTAACTACGATCTGAAAAAAAAAGAAAAAAAGAAAGAAGAAAAGCCCTATTCTTTCCGCGTCTCTTCTCAGTGCGTTATTATTCATAAGCGACGAGAGGGCTGGTCAGCACTGCAGTCCTTGCTTTTTCATCACCCAGTCGCATTATTAGCTCACCCTTCTCTGTTCGTGTTGCTGTGTTTTGCTCCAGCGCACCTGTTCACAAGCGACGAGCATCTCTGCTTAAAAGTATGCCCATTTTCAACCTTTCGCTCCAGCTACATACCATTCCTTTGTTAAACCGTCTTTGCAGCATTCTTTGTTATTTGTTTTATTTTTTGTTTTGTGTCTTTGTTAAACCATCTTATACCACACCCACACCTCTTATTTTATTATTTGTTTTGCTCCTTTATTAAACCATCTTCGCAGGAGCCAACCTTTTGTCCATCTGCATACTATTTCCTTTATTTTATTATTATTTTTTGGTTAGCATGATGGCACCTTTTTTAAATATTATATATTCCACCCACTTTATATTTTATTATTTGGTTTGCTTCTTAGTTTCGTTTCTTGGCTGAAAGTCTGAAAGTTATTTTATTATTTATTGTGTTTTTGGAGGAAACTTTGATTAAATATAATTTGAAATCATATGGCTTAAATTCATCAAGTGCTGTTGATAGTAGTAGCACTCTGACTTCAGTAAGTGTAAGCAATGCTACCTTTTGATTTTAATATGTATTATGATGACTGAATTTGAACTTATTTTTTATTTCCTTTTGTGTTTGGACTTAAATTCGTGATGGATGTATATTTTCCTTTTGTTGTGATCTGGTCTTATATATGTTGGATGTATATATTTTTTTGGTACGTAGTAAACTCTTATGTTTCATTTACGTTTCACGATTTTACGTTTTTGCTCACCCCTACCGTTTCTATGTAAACTCTACGTTTTAACAACATTGATTGTATAGCGTGCATATGGAACTCACACTAATACCTCAAAAATGAAATTTAAATTGAAGCACCTTGCCTCAAATGAACAGTGGGATAGAGTGGGTATTAGATTTAACAGTTTTTGTCTCATAAAATAATTTTTTTACGGACCAGGGGTGAACAAACCATTCCTACCAGAGCAGTAAAGCATGATATGACAGTGAGAATGATATGAAAAACCAAGGAGCATAAGATCTAGTAACAGTGTGATCAAGAAGCAGGTCTATTTTTCAACATTTCATTTCCAATATGCTATAGTTCCATTGGTTAAATTTGAAAGCAACACAACCAATTAACCACATTTCAACATCATGGATTTTCTCCTACCAATTTACTTTTAACCTTCTCATGGTACATAAACATGGCAGATCACCTGGAACTGTTTTTTATCAGAGAATATCCCTTTTCTTGCCATGGCTCTGTTGACTTCCCTCCCAAAACACCGAGAACATAAACAAAATTTAAAAAGAAAATGAGAAAAGGGATACTTAAAAGTTACAAACTAAAATGAATGATCTAGACTCAAAAACATGAAATATCAAAGATAATGATGAACTTCTCGAGAAGAAAGAAACTTCTGTTTTTTTTTGGAATTACCTGTATAACAGTCTTTGACCCAACAAATGCTTCAATCTTTTTCCAGTCACGGTCAAACCTAGATACAGAAAGAAAGGAACAAAACAATGTGAGGACAATGCAAAATGGCGACACTAAGACCAAGAAAGGGGAGTAACAAACACATTTAGATTTAATTCGAAACACTAAATATCATTTAGGAACTAAGCTTTGACCTTTCAATGAAGCTCTCCACCATATGGAAGCAATGATTTGCAACGCTCTCAGTTGTTATCAAAATTCAAAATTATAAAAATATAATAATTTGGTTTATTTGTCTGGAGAAAAATACCCATATTTTTCAAGGGTGTCTCTCTACCTTTAATTAGTTATTGGAGTGTGTTGTGTATATGGCTTCTCTTTGGTGCCCTCATGGATGTTTCAGGGAAGTTCTATTACTTGAAGGCAAAGACAAATTGCACAGCTTTGTGTAAAGAACCAATTTACCTCAAAACCTTAAGGTGATGGATGAGGGCCTTTTTAATGGTTTATATTATTCTGTAACACACTCCCTCACGCAAGAGCCCTTTGGGCTTGAAGCGTGGATATTGCACAGGTCCAATTTTTTTGATTTTACCTTGTGCTTATTTAATTCCACTTGAAAGTGAGAGGCGGTGAGGATCGAACTCGTGATCTTATAGACACTGAAACTCTGATACCATGTAAAGAATCAATTCAACCCAAAACCTTAAGGTACTGGGTGAGGGCCTTTTTAATGATTTATATTATTCTCTAACACTTTGTTGCATTTCTTAGCTACTTTGGCTCCCTTGTTTCTTCTCATTTTTCATTTCAGGAGGCATTCTTATCTTCCTCCCAGATGTATTTTCTATTTCTTCCTTCTATAATATTTCCTTCTACAAAAAAAAGGTAATAATTTTCCTAATATGGCCATATGAAATTAAAGTAAAAGGCATCTACAGCAACATGGCTTTAGTTAATTCTGCATAGTATCATGGACAAATAATACACTTACTATGCTAATGCAATCCCAAGGAGAAGAAACATATTGTCAACATATAGGCATTCTTGGTATGATTATTGGTTACGAACCAAGTTAATCTTTATATCATGCTAAATGCTGTTTTAGATTAAGTAGTCCATTAATCCTTTTCTTTTCAGATATTATTCTTATCTATTTTTTTCCCAGTTGTGATTGCCAATATCTTTGGATCTAATTGCACCTATTCTATCTCAATCATTTGTTTATTAATTTTTTTTTTTTCATTCTAATTAAAAATGGAAAGATCAGAGTCAAAATAGTAAATAGTTTATAGTTCAAAAAGGTTAGTCCAATTTGTCAGGGTGTATGCATTTATGAGACAAGGGTAACTACTGGTCAGAAAGGAAGCAGGAAGCCATCTTCAACTCGTTGAACCCACAACCACAATTGTATTATAAGTAATCAGAGGATTCTAATGTAAGTTCAACCAACTTTAGTTTTAAGTGCAATTCTAGATCTAATATAAAGCTAGTGAGCATTGTCCCCACTCTCTCTCCTTGTCAATATCCAACCTCCCTTTACATCCTTGCTCTATCACTTGCCGAATTTGATATCTCAAATTCAACTACTTCAAAGTGGCTCGTATGCCAGACCGGGTTTGAACAAAAAAAAAAAATATTTCGACACCAAAAGGAAGAAATATATATGTCACATTACAGCTTCTAACAAAAACATTTCAAAAATAAAAGAATCTGGCTCTCTCAAATACAGCACCACTTTTTCATCCTTTCTAAACTAAGCTAAAATAAACAATAGGAAACTTAAAATTCACTATTGTTCCATTGTGTCAACTCAGCATCAAAAATCAAAATTTAACCTACCCATTTACCATTTCCATTCCAACACCTTCACACTTATAAAAGAAAAACCCCAAATTCCTCTCCCCCACCAAACCCATCTGAAAAACCCTAAATTCTCTATAATTACACACAATTCAGCATATGCCACACACATAACCATCACTGAACACACGCACACACAGATATAAACTCCGCTAACCAATGTCTCAACTGAAAACTAAAATTTAATCACTAACTATTGAAAGCCAAAAAAATAAAAAAATAAATAAAGAAATAAATAAAAAAGAGTGAACATTACAGTTGAAGGGCTTCGAGGAACTTGTCGTGTTCGGGTTCGGTCCAGTTCTCCCTTGACTTGGTGATAGTGTAGGGCTTGCGGATCTTCTTGGCGGCGTCCTCCAACGAGTTCGTGGCGGAAACCGCCGTGGCAGCGGCGGCGGACACGGAGGCGAAGGGGGCGAGCCCCGGTAGAGCCATGCCACTCGGATCCAAGTAGAAGCCCTCGGGCGGGTTCGGGTTTTTGGATACCATTCGAAGATTTTAGAGAGAGAAAGAGGAGAGAGAGTCTATGGTTTTGCGGCGAAACACACGGCAATTTATACAAGAGATATCTTTGTTCTTCTGATTCGCCAAGGTTAAGGACTGTTGTTGCTTGATGCGGCGCGGTTTATGGTTGGTATTATACGTGGACCAATGGTCGATTGCCACGTGAGCATTGTAAGAGAGGCTCTAATTTAGGTAAACTTTGCAACTTAAGCTTAGCCAAACACGTGTACACTATTTTCCTCTCAGGGGACGTTTTGTTGAGGAGAAATTTTTTGAATACTAGAAAAATGTAATTGATAGGAAAATGGTTAGAAAGTGAGTTTGGTAGGAAAATGTAAAAAAAGTTGTTTGGGTTGGAAAAAAATTTACTGGGCAAATTAGATAAGATTTATAAAGTCTATGTTTAGTTTGAGATAAAATATAGATAGAGAAATAAGTGACAATTACGAAAATATCCCTATTTTTAAAATTTTTAGAAAAATAAAAAACACATGAATAAAGATAGTTAGTATTACGAACTGCATTTAAATATTATAAACAAAAACACACTCTGCATTCAGTAACGAATATTAAATACGAAAACTACAAGTTGGGGGGGGGGGGCACACTTCAGACAACTATTTGAAGAATACATATTTGATGCCATAATCATTCTGTGTACATGAATAATCTTTCATTCTTAGGCAAAGTCAGTAAATACATTTCAAGTTTAAAAAATGATTGTTTTGGATCCTGATGACATCCGTGTATGATTATTGTTGCTGCTTGCGTGAATGGAATCCATTGCAGGTCTTTCAGGAGTACCAAGGCTTGATACTGGACCAACAACTGTGTTCATTTCAGGCCAGTTAAATGCGCAATGGAAATTCTCTGGTTCTTTGAGTTGATAGTTGTTCTATGTTCAATGCTCCTGTAAATCCCATTTGTAAACATCTGCGAAATGGGATTTATGATAAGGGACAAAATTTGTTGTGCGTGTGGTCCATGTAAGATAAGCTTCTGCACTCAAACAAAGACAAGAGCGCTGAAGATAATGTCTAGCATCTGTCTTCAAGAATCAGAGGGTATTTTGGTCTGTTTTATTTTGTCATTTTCCAATTTACCCAGCTATCCACAGAAAACCACCACCAACTTCAGATTCTAAACAGTGACAATGGCTGGCTTTCTATGACCAAATGGGGAAATTCTATGCAAATAGCATAGATGGGAAACTTCAATGAATCTCTCTACCAAACAATGACTTTCTGGATTGCCAAGTTCATTTGTATAGGGAAATTTTCAAATCTCTTCAACCAAACACCACCCCAGAGAATACATTATATTCTGACTTTTTTTTTTATAAACTTATATTCTGACATTTTATTAATGTTGATGATGTCTTTTAAAACTTTGACTAAAAATATTATTATCTGCATTTTTTTCTGTTCAATTCTCAATTCGCTTTCATTTCATATTGAGATATTTCCTCATTACCAAAAAACAAGAAAAGAAAAAAAGAAAACCCTGTATTTCATTCATGGCTAGGAATATGCTATAAGAGCATAATTTTTTCTTCGCTTTGATTGAGTGGATTGCCTTTACATTATTCTTACATTGATATTTAACTGAAATTATATTTGCTAAATTTTGCAGGGAGTGAACAGTGTCTTTGGATAGGAAAGACAAGAAATTTATGTTGAGACGTAAATGAATTTTATATATTATTGAATATCATAATCGTTGTGTTAAAGAGCTTGGCTCGAAATAACTTCTATTTGCAAAATCTAGTAAAGTTGTCGCAAAATGAAGAAATAAAGAAGTACAAGGAAAATACATAAAGGACACAAAATAATTTTAATATGAAAAATCTCTTCAATATAAGGAGTAAAAACCACAAGAATGATAGGTCCAAGAAAATTTTCACTATGAAAGTATGATTACAAAGATAATCCCTCTAATACAAGACTAGAGGTTTGCACACAAATACTTCAGCCACTAATATCTCTCACTTGGAGAATTTATTTCTCACCTATGTGGAGGAACTCTATTTCTATCTTCTAAGAAGAACTATCTTAAATACTTGTTTGATGCTCCAAGACTTCAATACCTTCTCTATTTATATATAAACTTTGGCAAGAAAATAAAATATGGGTTAGACGCGTAGACTCATGCGCGTGATTTTTCCCGTTCTGCTGGGGTTTTTTCTTTTTTGTGTGATTTTCATTTTTTTCTGTTCTTGAGCAAATGGAGATCGAGACGGTGATGAAGCAGCCATCAACTAAGGAAAACGAAGAGAAGGGAATGAGAGAGAGAGAGAGAGTGCCATCGAAAGAGGATGTGTCTCAATGACGTGGAAAAAGACGAGAAGGGGATGTGATGGAGGATTCAAGCATGAATGACCAAATGCTTGAAAAAGGAGAGGGAGAGGATGATTCACCCTCTGTTAGCCCCATGCAAGCAGATAAGAGAGCATCAAAGCTTATTAATGGCTCACGTAGTAAAGTGGTGTCCTACAAGGACAAGCTATTGAAGCTGAATGGAGGAGGTAACTCTGACAGTGAAGAGGAGGATTGGTTGACTAGGCAAAAGAGGCAGGAAGAGTTGGATGATCTAATGGAGGAGATTCCCCAAGATCCTTCGGATGATCCTCTATGTCTGACTTACCATATCTCTAAGGCCTAACACAAAAAGGATTGCAAGCAATGGCGCAAAGCACTTATTATTAAGCTGCTGTGAAAATGAATTTCCACAAGATTCCTAATGGCAAGGCTCCAGAGGTTGTGGAATCTGATGAGTTCCTTCGAACTTATTGATCTAGATAATGGTTATTTGCTGCTGAGATTCTAAGATGACAATGATTATTGCCATGTGTTAGAAGAAGGGCCATGGTTTGTGAATGACCATTATGTGGTGGTCCAAAGATAGAGGCCATGTTTTGACCCATGCGATGAACAATTCAAAAAACTGGCGGTGTCGATTAGGATTCCTGGGCTACCTATAGAGTTATACATTGTTCATCACCTTTGGAAGATTGGTAACAATTTTGGAAAAACTCTTAAGGTAGATAGGAATTCCCTTCGTAAAAGTGACTCTAGGTTAGAAGTAATTACAAAGATAGCTCGTTTTGCTCGTATATGTGTGGAAGTTGACCTCAGGAGAAACTTTCTATCCAAGTTCAAAATAGGGGACAGGGTCTTCCATGTGGGATTTGAAGGTCTACACTTAATCTGTTTCAAGTTTGGGGTATGCGGGCACAGGAAAGACCAATGCTCTAAAAGTAAGGGTGGCCAGAAGGAAGGGGGAGGAGAACATCAAGTGGATGCGAGCAACATCAGTTATGAGCAAGCCAAGGTGGAAAGGAAGCCGGATGAGGCGTTTGGGAACTGGATGGTTATCCAGAGACAACCTAGAGGAAGGAAGTTGAAGGCTATTCTAGCTAAGGCCACAAACGACGGTAAGGGAGGTGAAATACTAGGGGGGAATTGGTCTCTCACTTTGAAGGGGTGATGGATAAAGGGGAATGTGAAAATAATGTAACCCAGATGGAGACAGAGCATGCCATTACTACTATCCCAAAGTCAGCATCTGCTGAGATAGCCCTTCAAGCTAAGAAGACTGGGAAAAACCCAATTTTCATGGTGGAGATAGCTGCTTCTAGCAATCTAAATACTCAGAAAAATACTAAATCGTTAGAAAGTAAGGCTAGGAAAACTCCAACTAAGGAAGGTAAAGACAAAGGCAGAGGCTCTGCTACTCTTGTGCAGAGGAAAATTGGGATTGAGAACAAATCTCCCAATACTGTTTTGGAGGGCCCGTACAAGTCATCTAGAAAGACCAAAGAGAAAGGAAAGCCAAGCTCTGTCTCTAGGGACAAATCTGATGGACTGCTTATCCAATAGGGGAAAAAGGAGAAAGGTGTCAATGTCCTTGATCTGTTAGGAACAGTTTCTCAGGCTCAGAATGAGCAGGCTTTTGATGAGACTCTTCTGAATTAGGTGGGACCTACTCTTACTCAAATTTAAAGTAAGAGCTCTTAAGGGAATTACCCTATCTTTTTATTTTCTTTTGTTTTATATATCTGTCTGTACTTGGAACTGCAGAGGGATAGGTATAAAGGGCTTTCCTACCCTCATTAGAGATTTAAAGTTTTGTTTTAAAATTGATGTTATGGCTCTCTTGGAGACTAAAATAAATGGCTTGAAAGGTGACAAAATTATCAAGCAGCTTGGCTTCCCTAATTACTTCAAACAGGAGACCTTAGGCTATTCAGGGGGAATATGGATCCTTTGGGATGCAAATGTGATTAAGATGGAGATTATCCAAACCCCATCACTAGTATGTTCACACTCGGGTGCATTATCTGGAATCGTTAAAGTGTAAGTTTATTACTTTTCTGTATGGAAGCCCTAGGCGTTTGGAGAGGAAAACTCTTTGGAATGATTTGGATCTCATTAGTCAGTCCATTAATGAACCTTGGCTGCTGATTGGGGACTTTAATTCCATTTTGCATGCTTCAGAGAAATTGGGGGGAAGAGAGGTTTGTTAGGATAGTATTGTTGATATGCAGCAAGGCTTATATAAGTTCAATGTCAGTCATATGAGTTACAAGGGGCCAGATTTCACTTGGAAGAGAGGGAAGTTGCATCAAAGGATTGACACGACTTGCTCAAATGAATCTTGGAACCTTTCCTGGCTTGATCATTTTATTTTCCATTTGCCATTTTTAACTCTGATCACAAGCCATTACTGCTTACTAATAGTGGTCCATCTAGACCGAATGAACATTCCAGAACATTCAAATTTTTGGCTGCCTGGCTAACTGACCAGGATTTTGGTAACTTGGTAAAGAAAAGCTGGAATGACAATGCGAATTGGATCATGGCAGAAGCAAGTTTGAACAGGAAGCTAAGTATTGGTACCAGAATGTGTTTAGGAAGAATACCCAGCAAAAGAATAAAATTTATGCTCATTTGAGAGGCCTTGACAATTATATGAATGGAAGATATGATCATAACATAGAGCTTGTCCAAAAAAGCCTTTGGAAGGATCTTCAAACTATATTAGT